TGGCCATTTGCTGCCCATCACTGATGAGAAGCTTTTGGCAATGATAAACATACACACATATATTTACACCCTAAGAAACTGATAAAATCCTAAAGACAAAAACAAGTACAGGACTGGTGACTATCTATCTAAACCGTAGGTACACCCAGACAAAGATAAGCACAGAGAAAAGTATTAGATACAAGTTTAAATAAGAACCCTATGCACATTTGTACTCACTCACAAATACATCCCCTCTAAACATGCAGCCAGTCTTTCAGTGAGCTAGCTTAACTACTGGGATAATTTCCCTCCAGCAAATGGTCACTGTGCCCTTGAAAAACATATTTGATTATTACTTTTTCTCCCCCTCCTCTTTTTTCTTTTAGCATCATCACAGCCATTTTCATCACGCGCTCTGATGATGGCACGGCAAGGCGCGTTAAGATAACACCCCGGCACCACCAGGCTTTTAACACTTAAACGGTGAAAAGGGATATTCAGATTTGTCCTTGAACGTTTGGATAGGGCCTGCTGGGCTGGGACAGAGGGAGGGAGTAAGAGAAGGAGTTAAAGGAATGCTCAATTTTAAGATTTACTCACTTTAAGGAAAAAGTGAAGTGGGGTTAGCATTAATGGTAGCACCCACAGTGAGAAATGGGGTAAGTGGGGTTGAAGGGCAGAAGAGTTGAGAGCTGGACATTAGGAAGCAAATGTGTAAAGGGGAAATGATTAGTGAAGCGCACAGTGAAGTGGTAGAGACTTGGGACACAATGGGGGGACTAAAGGCACCCAGCAAGTTTCTTAAAGACTATCTAATCTCACTTAAGTCTTAGCTGCATATCTTTTCTACAAACTAAGACGCAAAAAAGTGATGTAAATAAAGAGATTAAAAGTTGTTGATAGACCAGCAGCATAGGAGACAATACTGCAGGAAAACTGGGACTATTATTAGAAAACAAGCAGTGTTTAATATTCTTGAAAGTTAAATCAAAGCTGTTTAAACAAACAGCAGATTTGAAAGGAAAGGATTAAGCACAGAAACTATGTTACCGTATAACAACTGGGGAGACTGAGAGAAGGATTAAAGTGCATTTCAATAACACACCAGAAACAAAAGAGTGAGCAATGGAGCAGTTCTACCAGTGGTAGTGATAAACATTTACCTGTATAAGAAGAAATTACTCTGGCCTTTACATTTTTGGCACTTTGATTCCTGTGACTTATCTTAAAAAGTGATTTTGTATTTATGATTAAGTTTGTAAAACAAAAAAAAAGTAGTTCTGATTAGAGACAACTTTATTATCATATTGTATTGTAAAACTGAGAATGTAAAAAAAAAACCAAAAAAAAAGCAACAAACATTCCCAATTAATATATGGGTCTGGACTGACTGCACCAATATTTGAAAGACTGTCTGGTTTAAAATAGTAATATTGCTGAAAAGTGAAGCTCCATGCCATTTAGACGTCTATTGTGAACTCAATTACAATCGTATTTATTGTCATCTATCTTTAGGCTGTTGAAGCTTCTTAGTCATCCAGGTCACAGCCATTCCAGTGGAAGTCCAGTAAATTGTTTTTTTTTTTTTTTTACTTTTTTGGAACGTCTATCTTTAGATTTACTAAGATTTCCTATCCCTGCTAAAGAAAATCTGTCAAATAGCATGATGGGGCCATAACATTGTTTTATAATGGTGGTATTTTGTAAATAGTGAGGGGAAGGTGTTCACTTACATAAAAGATAAATAAAAATTTGTTTTTTAGTTTTATAGAATCTGCCACCTCTTTAATTCCTGTAAAGCTACTAGTAGTCCCTAACCTTCTGTCAGACTAATCTTGCTGTTACGCAGCCAATCATTTTAGGCCGACGATGATGGTAACTCTCCATACCCTTTCTATTTTGTGTGAACTGAACAGTGGTCTGTGAGGTTAAAGTCCAAAATGTTTCCCTACAAACTTGCCTTATTTTAAAAATATCCCAAACTTTGAAGTTTTGTTGAGTGAGGTTTGCAATAGTTTTGGGGCTTGACACTGGCAGATCTGTTCAATCCTGGCAGTAAAGGATGGGTGGAGTTGCTAGTTCTTTTAAGAATATAGTACATAATTTCTTGTAACAGCAGTGCAGGATTTATTTGAAATTCATGTTCATTCAAAGTATTATATACCAATTTATATCTATAAATATTGGTTATACTATCCGTAACAGAGCCGTAGCAAGCCACTTTTTCTCGCTGTGTGTTTTCTGCTGCTGCAGTCATATTAGCAGTCAGCCTTCAGCTCAAAGTCTGACTTTGGGTTCTGACCTGTAAGGTGTGATGCCTTCATATTCCTCATCATCACTACCCTCTCCCCAGTTTGAACTGGCTGATGGTTCAAACATACAAACCATTTCCAGACTAGATGTTCTGAAACAATCGATCATGTTTTCATCCATCTCCATGATACTGCAGCTATTTTTCATCACTATCACTGGAAATAAAAAAAAATAAAAAAAACCCTCTTTTTTATTTAGGATTTAAGCTAAAAGAAAAATAAACAAAAATTTTAAATTACTTCAATATTACATTTAGTTTTATTTATGAAAAAAATAATATGAAAATGAAATAAGAAATTTTTCTTTCCAGACTAAGAACACAAAATAAACCAAACACATTCTTTTTATCTCCTTTTTGTTGGTTTATAATATAAAATAAGAGTAAAACAAGATTTAGATTTGTATTTAGAACCTTACAAAATGTTTAAGCAGTATGAAAAATTAATCGACAATACAGCAGTCGATGGTGTATTAAAGACACACAATTTATAAGATACCCAGTAGAAGGTAACTAAGTTTTCTGAACTTTAGTTCAAGCTATTGTTTTTCAACAATGAAAAATTTGAGTAAATCCTTAAATACTTAAGTAAAGGCTTTTGACCGGGAAAAAACGAAACCAACATTTAACTGTAGCCCGACTCAAGATTAACAAAAGCCAGTGAAACAGATTAATGTTTTTAACGTGTTTCCACATCTATTTTTACCAGCATGCATGTATGTTTATATGTAACTGTGGTTTGTGTTGATATGATTACTTGTGTGTTTGTGTAGGTGTATGCAGAAGCCGGTATGCGTATCTGTTGCCAGACAGCTGTCTCCTGGCATTGCTGTTCCCCTGCAGTGTGTGTGTATGGTTGTTGACAGTGTGGACGGTAATGTGTGATAGATCGCACTTCAGGGACCCCATAATCACATCAGCCTAACCTAGTCTATCAGCTGGGCACAACGGGATACCCTTCACTCCTCCTTTAATCTGCTCCATCTACCTCTTCACAATAATTTGTTTTTTTTTCAGCTTTCACCCGTAGTAAATTTAACACCGATATTTTCCTGGTATTCTAAATATTTACTAGCTAATGTTATTTCTATTTAATATTTTCTTTAAATATTTGATATATTTTTTACTCCTTATTCATAAGTAACTTCAAATTGAGCAGTGCAAATGTAGAAATATAGTATGTGCAACTTTCTCTTCGTTTCTTTTAGATTTATTCCAATTCTACTTTACAATCTTTACACCACTTTATCAGAAGAAAAAAAAGATCTAACTCTACACGTAATACGACAAAGTATGGGGTTAAAGTGGTGCCAAGGTTAATTAAACTATCCCGCAATAGCGAGGTTGCATGGATTTTGAGTGGGAAACCGATGAGTTGGGTTGAGGTTGCATAGCTGGCCGCAGTCATCCCCGACTGTGCATAGCACCCGGCAAATGGCCCTTAGCCTTACTAGCATTCCTAGCTCTACAATCCATCATACCATATGCTCTCAATAGGGAAGCTAACGCTAATGACTAATGAGCAAATGAGAAAGAGGGAGGGTGACAAGAAAGAACTACTACAGAAAAAAGGAGGCCTAGGAAAGAACAAGAGATTTTGGATAAAAAAAAGTCGATTAGATTGTCAAAAAGGCAACATCTATGATAAAGAATATATAGAAAAATAAGAAATGGGGGATGAAGGTTAGGAAGATGGGGGAAATATGCTCTCCTTGGGAGTCTTCTTCCAATGAAGAACGACCATAAAGACTGCTTAGTTGGATGAAGGAAAAGAGAATGTGGTTAAGATAAATCATTTGAAGGGCTAAAACTACTAGCAGCATCCAGGATGAAGCTAAATCTAGCAACAGGCAGGAAACCGAAAAAGAAGTGTTCATATATTTTGTCTAATCATGGATTTGTTTTGTGTTGAGTAAGTTGATGTAGCAGATATAAAGTGTTTGTGTAAATGTCTGTTGGTGTGTGTTAGACTATGGTTGATAGTCTAATGGAACACTATAAGCCTGCCCATATGGGGCCATTGTTTATAGGTGATGAATCGAGTCCATGTGTCTTTATCTGGCATTCAACACAAGGAGAACCCTGCCGAGGGCACCCTGTTGACTCTGTGTGTGTGTGACTGTGTGTTTAATGTGTCTATGTGTTTGACTATGTGTGTGTGTGTGTGTTAAACAAAGAATGATTGTGTATTTCTCCTGCTGTGTGCTTGGCAGTGCCCTCAATGGTGCCATCCTGAGCGCGTTTCATCATCATCTGCCATGACAAAGATGTCTAATGACACACACATACGTTGACATCGACACATAGACACACACACAGTCCCATCTGTGCCGTAGTAGCCGGGTGCTTTGGGACACTGTGGGAGAGGAGGACAGGGAAACGACCCCACGTTCTTGCACCATGTGTCTACCTCTCAACCCGTTCTTATCTTCTACTCTTTTGTCATTGTGTTCCTAATGCTCTCATCCACCCGATCTCATAAACGCAAAGATACCACCGGAGATTTGACCCTGACAAAGAGTAACTCAGAGTAACTCGTTTTTTAAAGAAAGGGGTCTTTTGAACATAGCAATTAAAACATGAAAAATTTTACTAGGAAAACTTACAATGACTCTGATTAGCAGCATATTAGGTGAAAACCTTACCCACTGTGCAACCTTTGATGCTTCATAATGGCTAAACATATAGATTTCTCTTTACCACGCACCTGGTTTATATATATGCACAGCATCCTTGCAGCAAACCAAGGTGTCATCTACTATCAGGCCTCCGCAGCATTGGAGCCCATAGCCATCATGTAGTTTCCCACTGCAGCAGAGCTGGCCCCCTGTCATGGAATAAGGAACCCCCCCACAGCAGCTGTCACCAGGCCCCACAGAGACCCGTCCCTGCAAGTGGTCAGGACAGCAGTATTCATCTAGAAAGACAAGGACAGATGAAGGGAAGACCTAAGCATCATTAAAAATACTAAAATCGAGGGGAGAATAGTTAATTGAATGTACTGTAAATAGTAGTAAAGAAAAAAAAAAAACATACCGTTTTTTATAAGAATAAAGTATCCTCCACAGCATTGATGATTAGGGCGAGATGGGACAAGTTTGCTATCGCAGCACACAGGGTTGGAAGAATCATTCCAACTTAAATAAAGCTCATCACAGCAATGATGATGTGGCTGTCTTTTGTGCAGTACTCCATTGCAACATACCTGCTTAACACACAGGGCATACACAAACACAAAAAAGATAGGTGGAAATACATTTATTAGACTTTTAAGTAGAAAAAAAATCCCTTCTGAAAATAAAGAAAAATTTAAAATTAAAGCACACCTGCCAGAAAGGCTAGGTGTGAGGCTTATCCTACTGATACCTGACAAACTCTCCAGGGTTAGATGTCTTGGGAAGGGAGCCAGACTCCTTTTAAGGTTATTCAAACATCCCTCTATTTGTGGAAAACTGTCTTTAACTTGCTTTGCATAAGTTTTATAAAAAAAACTCCCAGATCTTTACTTAAGTGTTAAGTAGTTGATAAAATCATTTGTCTGACCAGAAAAGACAATACATTGGCAAACACTATCTGTACTCCCTTAAAAGTATTAATAAATGCTGCTTTAATGAAGACTACTGATGTTGTTATTGTTGAATATTTGTTTTTTGCTTTTTTCTGACAAGAAGTCATCGATTTATTTTCCAACAGGTAGTCATGTATGTCAATAGCTGTAGGCCAGAAGGACGTTCTGTCTTGCACTGGATCTGGAGACGATTCTTGGTTGTGAAATCATCTCCAAAAGCTTATAGAGAAGTTCCTATGACAGAGTCGGCCTTCTTTATAAGTTTGTTGAGCTTCTTCAAACAATTTAAGTCATTGCAACATCTTGCTGCAAACGTTAAACTTTCTTAAAGCAACAGTGCGTAGCATTTTACCCAAGGATTTGCTTAATATTTTTAACTTTCTCCTTTTTCTCCAGAGATATACCATAATCTCCCATGTTTTATTCAGATTCAGGATCAGAGGATTGTTTCCACATCATGCCACAAAGGGGTTCACTAGCTCCCTGCACTCTAGTCCATCTTTGATGCCCCCAATGACAAAGTCATCTGACTTTGTCTGCAGATGACAGGACTCATTTGTGTACTGGAAGTCAGAGGTGTAAAGAGCAAATCAGAATTAAGAGAGCAGCATCTTCTCTGGTGCTCCTGTCTACCTGATTGGACAGTTGACCCTTCAGTCTTACAAACTGTGGTCAGTTTGTCAGATCATTTTTGATCCACGCAATTGTTGATGTTTCCTGACAAAGGAGGCTAAATAAATGCACAGGAGACAGAAAGAAACTCTGTCCAGGGCTATCTGCCTTGTTTGATGATGGCATCTTTAACTATCTCCATGGCAAAAAGCAAACTGAAGGAGATCCTGATAACTGCTTGTTTGCTTGTTCATGTGGACCAACAGTCTCTGTGACCTTTGACAATAATGGAAGCCTCTTCTTGGTCAGAATAAGGTTGAATTGATGCAATAGAATCCCGTAGAGCTGCTCAAAGCAGGCATTTAGACATAGACTCTTAGGCTAAAACCATTTGGACCCGTTGCCTTATTGCAATTCAGTCTATCCAGTTGCCTCTTCACTTGATTTTACAGACAGGTGGAAGAAAGAGGGAGCAGCTTTTTTTTCACAGTTTCTTGACTGTGGACAGGAGAGAAGGATGCTGAGCTTGTTCCTGAACTGAACCTTTTGAAAAATATGTTAATTTTATTGGCTGTGTTCAGACCTCTTTCTGTCAGATCTCCATTCTGCTACAAGCCTGTGATCTTCTTATTTCTTGATATTGTTTTGGTGGAGCTCGCTCTCCAGGCTTCTCCTGTAAGTCTCATTGCTTTCACTTATCTTGACCTTAAGTTGCTTCTGTATGTTCCTCTATAAGTCCCTTTCCCCCTTTCTAAAAGCTATTTTTTTCTTTTTCAGCAGTTCATTCAGATCATTGGTGATTTTGGGTTTATTACTGGAGAAGGTGGACTTAATAATTAATGATAAAGTTGTAAACGGAATAAATTTATATAGCAATTTCCTAGTTCCATCAACCACTTAAAGCACTTTACAATAAAGTTGTAGTTACACAGTAGCTTAGCTGGATACAAAGGAGCACTTCAGCATGTGCTTGGAGAAAGCCAGAATCAAACAACCTTCCATTTGCTACACAGCCTTGCTCCCATATTCTTACCCTTGTTTTGTTTGTGGTTCATTCTAAGCTTTTCGTATTTATATAAGTTTAACAACAAATTTCTCCGTACAAATCATATTAGATACATTTACATTTTTAATAAGACTTGTATCATTCAGTTTACACTTCATTTATCTGTTACTTGCTAATACTATTTAAATCACAACGGAAAATTTTCAATGCTTTATGTGGGAGCAGCTTTTTGAAATTTATGATTTAAAGATGAACAATATATACCTGTGATTCAGGATGAAAGCAGGATGTCCCACAAACGCTGTTACCCACAGGACACTCCAGGTAGGAACATTTAAATTTTAAACCATGGGCACTGGCTGAGGATGACCCCATTGACCCATCGGTGCATGATCTAAGGGTCCGTCTTAAAACCTTGTAGCCCAGCATGATCCCACTGGGTTTGCCCGGATGGGCCCATTCTAATCTCACCACTCTGAGGGAGGAGAGGTGGAGGGAAGCAAAAACAAGGTGAAAGTGAGGCTGGAGGAAGTGTCTCCTTCACACTCCATTTTCATTAATGTACACATGCAGTCCCACACACTTTCAAGGAAAGATGCAATAATGCATGGCTAATGCCAGCCAAAGTTGAGCAACAGTGGCAGGAAGTGTTTAGGTTTATACACTTCAAACTATTGATTTAGCTCTTTTTTTGTAACATTGACATCTTTAGCAGGGGAAAAATCTGTGCTCTAACACAATTACAACCTAGAGAGTAACATGGGCGTAAAAAAAGCCCCCCCTATAAAGAAGAAAATATAAAAACAACAAAAAAAACTTTTGTTTCCCATGTTAGTTTGATATATGTTCAAAAAATGTGCTATTTTTTTGTGAAACTGAAGAAATTATGAATAATTTGAAATGCAACCTTTGCTAAAGAGAGTTTGTAATTCTCTCTCTCTTTTTTTTTCAAACAGTTCCGGATGCATAAATGTCTTCACATAAAGTTGTGATGATATTTTAATAAATGTTTGTAGATGGCTAAGTGAAGTCATTTCAACATCAAAATGTACTCAGTCTGTTGATTAAATACAAAAAATAAAATGTAAAAAATATATCGAGCAATGATAGAAATGCACAATGAATATTTTGTTCAAATGGTGAAAAAGAACTTTAATATAATTGAAAAGACCCAAGCAGTGGAGCAGTAACTCCTCTTCAAATCTGCCCAAACTGAATTGAAACAAAAATACAGACTCCCTTAAGTTTAAAATAAAAAAAAAAAAAAAACAGAAAAAAAAGAAACCTTTTTTCATTTCAGAAAGTAAATACTGAGAAGTATGTAGAACAATGGACACTAACAATGGCCCCCTGGGCCCACAGTATTTCAGGGTATAGATGCATCTCTGCGCCAGGATGCCATTTAAACTATTACATTACCTAGTCTGCCATCAGTTGCTACAGAAGCCTGTTGAACACCTATTCATTTAGATCGTGTGTGATGGCAGGGAAACAACTGAAACATGCAGAACCGTTATAAATCACTGGTCTAGATGAACACATTTCACAGACCAAGGCTAGATGGCTAAAAAGTTTATTTTTGCCAAAACCATTTGTATTAGGTGCTCAAACAACCTGAGATAATGAAAGTAGTTTTGGATGCATTTTAATTCTGGAGAAAAACAATGTTTGGAGAGTAAAACTATATTGACAAAAAGTAAGGAGGAATACGATTTTTAGAGTGAAAGTGGTTAAAATCAAATCAAAATGACCCCAGTTGTTAGGCAAAAAATCTGTAATACATTCTGTATTTTATTACTTTTGTACAGTTCTTTATAGTCTTTGCAAATTTTTATCTTTAACTGAAAATTATTTGCATACTAATATATACCTTTCCAATATTGAGGAGTTGTGAAATAACAGCCTTAGAAATGTTTGTATCAATGGACTAACAACAACATAGTTTATATTGATAATTATATTTTACTGCTAATAATACTAAAAATGCACATTGGTATCACTGTACCTAGGACTGATTACTTGGGCATTTGGACTGGGCAGGTCAGCTGGCAGGTCTTCAACAGTGGTTGTTTCAGTAATATTACTCCGAGTACATGCATACAGCGTGCACACCTCCACCTGAAAAACACGTTTTTATAGATGACATAAAATGTATTTTGCAGAAATTTTCAGTTTATACTTTAATTGATTGAATACTTGTATATTGTAGACTGTAAGAGGTAGTAGGTCCCCCAGAAGGTATGAACCAGAGCTGTTGTCCACACTGCTGTGAAGGCGATCATTAACGTAGATGTTGTAACCAGTAACTACTCCATTGGGTCGATAAGGAGGGAACCAGAGGACACGTGCTGTGCTGCTGTTTACTGGAACCACTTCAGGAGCTGACATCCCTTCTGGCTCTGAAAGAGGCACGAGGGGAACACTTAAATAAGACAATTCATTATAGAGAAATAACATGAGAGCAAATTAAAAAAGACAATTCTAAAAATATTGGGGTAGAATCTGTATAATTAATTAATCCACAAGTCTAAACCACCAGATATGACATTGAAAGTGCATTATTAAACGGAGGATTTATTTGTTGTACCGAACTGAATTTTAAACATCAATACCCTTTTTTGTTAGGATATAGCCAAACACCGTGATTTACTTTAGTGGAATGTTTGACAGACGTACACAGTAAAATAGGGCATAGTTCTGCAATAGAAAAAAAACTTTTAAAATTAAAAATCTTAAAAAATGATGCACCATGCATTCTGAAAAGTAAAAGTAAAATCCAGAGCAACAAACTACTTTTAGACCAACTTTGTGTAAATTATTGTCAGTGTAAAAACTGCTTTGCACAATAACAGAGCATGTTTTAAACATCTCAAAAAATCGGAGTATTGCATAACTGTAAACATATAAGTCCACCTAAACTGATAAGACAGGCGTGACAGCATTAATCAAAGAAGCAACAAAGAGTGGCCCATGGCAACTTTAGGGCTGGGGAAAAAAAAAAATCAAACACAAAGGGGAAACATGGAAAAACAGGTCAGAGTGAGGATTCTGATTCTAGAATTTAATTCTAAAACGTCAGTTCTAAAATTGCAATGCTCAAGATCGCAGCACATTGGAGTAGCTCTGAATTTTTTTCTAATTTCCTTTTGAAAGAACTTAATTTTCTGTTTCTGCATCAAAGTTTCTTCTTTTTTAAATATTTAGTGGATGTTGTGCAGATGAAAGGAATTTTGTCAACATGTCTTAACCATAAGTGTTGATAAAGGCTTAAAAAGGTTGGGAAAGCCAAGGAAGGGGGCTTGGTACTATTTGTGAACAACAGCAGTATCATCAAGAACATGTTGCTGTGAAGTTCTGTCTCTACAGCCCAAATATTGAACAGCTGGCAACACGTTTTATTCCAAATTATTTACCCAGAGAGGTCACCATCAATACTTTGTGCAATTGTTGCATTATTATTATTAGATCATATTTAATGCATTCACATTGTACAATGGTAGTGTACAAATCAGTGTGTACCAGATCAGTGTATAAAATCTCTGCTGCGATTGTTACTGCAGGCACGAGCAGGGTAGCCTCGTGAGACCATCCTGATCTCGCGAGCTTTCAAGATTTCACTCGCTAATCAGTCTGGAGACTCTCCGTTGAAGAAAATTTGGAGCTGTTCACCAAACGAACGTCCAATCAGCGTTGGCTTTGAGGCCGGTTGAGGTGTGACGCAACGAGAAGCGCGAGACGAGAAGTCTAAAGAATATGGCGGCTTCAGCCGATGAAACTAGCGTTAGCGTGGCTATCGAGCAAGTTTTATCGGAATTACACTGTATTTCTTCACTGAAGGAAGAGCAAAACACTGCTCTGGAGGCTTTTCTCAGAAGAAAAGATGTTTTTGTTCTTCTCCCGACTGGTTTCGGCAAGAGCTTGATCTATCAATTGGCTCCTCTTCGTCGTCGCTCTGTTACGTCATATGCTTCGTTGATCTGATTGGTTTATTTGGCCCGTCTATCACCAACATAGGCCAATCAGCTAACCAGTATTTTCGCCCCTTCCCAAAATTACTTCAACGGAAGGTTTCCAGATGGATATGCGGAGCAAATCCATCTAGCAGAGTCAGGTTACGAGCAGGGAGCTGAGGTAGGCATACGTGATGCTGATTGGCTGAGGACGCTTAATGTGGGCACTTGAACACAACTAACACTTTGAGCTTTTTAAGCTGTTTTGCTGTTATACAGAGACAGCCAGCAGAGGTATTGCAACTTTTCCTTTGTTGGCTACCATGCATCACAGTTTACAAGACTTGCCATGCATGCACTTGGAGAAAAAAATGGAAACTGGAAGCTCTACACATTGAGCCCCATTGGAGGAGAAAACTGTCACATTAAAGTTGGAAGCCTAAATTAAAATGTCTGGAATCCTGCGTATGCACAATCAATGAGTAATTTAACTTAACAGATTCAAATCTTCTGCCATACAATATACTATGTAAAAATCACTTTTCTACAAGGCCTTAAACAGGCTTCTCATTTTCTAGGATTTCCGTTATTTTCTTAATAAATATGTGGCACTATGTTGCTCTTTTGTGTAACATGAACAATTCTGGAGATAGATAGCCTTGCATTCATCCTCTCTATTGAAAGATAGTAGCCAAAGTTTCAATGGTCCTGCTTCTATGAATTTCTTTTAAACAATCCTTCGCCTTCCACCTTTCTGTCTATAGACGTAAAGTGAAGAAGCAACTGGAGAGACAGAATCACAATCAGCCCCCAGGTGAGTTAGTGTCACCCTAAGAGTCCTAAGAGCCTGTGAAGAGCAGCTCTGTAGGATTCTATAGCACCAGTTCAATCTTAGCCTGGGAAATAAGAGAACAAAGTGATCAGTCCTCAATGACTGAAGACCTGTTGCTCTGACATCCAACATCATGGTCTCGGGTGACGCAACAAAAGACAAGACTCAGGTGGAGGCAAAAAAAAAAAAAAAAAAAACAGGAATCCTTAGTATTTTATCAAAGCGACTGTTGTGCCCTTTATCTTATTCCACCTTATTTTGTTTCAGAAACTCCAGAAGAGTCATACAGTATGGAGGCCAAAGTAATTGCCCTTATCCAATACTAAGGACACAATGTTTTTTATTGTCACAACCCCTCACATTTGCCTGTTGGTGATGCAAAATTAGGACTCAGGTCCTAGTTCAATAAGCCTTATTATAAAGAAAAGAAAGAGATGAAGCTGAATGAAGTGCATTTGAGTACAGCAGTTTAACAGCTACAGGGTAGAACCTGTCTTTGAGGCTGATGATGTGTGAGGGGAGAGGCTGGAACAGTCTGCGTGCAGGATTGGTGGAATCCTTCATAATCTGGATAGACGACAAATTGTCTTTCACAACACATTTAAATAATATGTTAAAAAAGCTGAAAGCCCTGCTCGGCTTTTACTACAGACAAAAATCCTCTTTGATTCCCTCAGTGAGGAAAAGACTTGTTCAGACCACCTTCCTTCCTGTTCTGGACTATGGAGACATTATATATATGAATGCTGCCTCCTCAGCTCTCCACTCCCTGGACATAGTTTATCACAGTGCTTTACGTTTCATCACCAACTCTGCCTTTAGAACTCATCATTGTGAACTGTATGCTCTGGTTTCATGGCCCTCTCTAAGCCTCAGAAGACAACACCATTGGCTTACTTTTATTTACAAGGCCATCCTGCGTAAACTCCCTCCATACCTGTGTCACCTCATGTCTGTAGCTAACAGTGGTTACAACTCACGCTCTTCAAGTCGTGTTCTTTTCACTATTCCCAGGATCAACACAGATCTTGGCAAAACATTTTCCTATGCAAAATCACTATTGAAAACCGCTTGCACAGAGAATTGTAACTGTTATTCTAGAGTCTAGTTTATGATTGATTTTATTATGTTGTTTTTATGTGTTTTTATATGTCTTATTGTACTGCTGCCTCTTGGCCAGGTCTCCCTCGAAAAAGAGATTTTATCTCAAGGGACTTCCTGGTAAAATAAAGGTAAAATAAAAAAAAAATAAAATAAATGCAAAGTGTCCTCTTGCTGAATCTTGACATGTAGAGGTCCAAGGGTAAAGGAAGGCTATTACCTATTGTCTTCTAAACAGCCTGAACCACCCATTGTAAAGCGGTCCTCTCAAAAGCAGTGCAGCTGCCATGCGTTACATGCTGGTGCAATGAATGCTCTCAACCACACAGAGATAAAGGTTTCTCTGGACTGAGCTCCTAAATCCAGTTGTTGGTCATTGCATAAATGTCACCCCGGTACCTGTAGCTGGAGACCACATCTATGGCTGCTTCTCCAAAGTACGGGGATTAAGAGATGGCGTGAAACTAGCCTTGTATCAAAGAGAAATTGCGATGGAGTGAAAAGAAGCAGCTGGTCTTAAATGTGAATAAAATAAAGGAGATGATTGCAGATTTCAGAAGAAATGGGAACAAACTGAATGTCTTTACCATCACAAAAGAAGAACTGGAGGTTGTTAAAGAGTATACATATACTGGTGTTTACCTGGGCAACTGACTCTACTAGAGACAGGACTGTAAAGCCATTTACAAGAAGGGACAGAGCAGAGTGTACTTCTTAAGGAAGCTCATATCCTTTAGTATTTTCTGCACATCTTCTGTAAGTTATGGAAAGTGTGATCTCTTCTTCCATCATCTGATGGGGTAAAACGATCAGGGCAATTTACTTTAAGAAGCTTCACAAGCTGATAAAGGAAGCCAGCTCTGTTCTGGGACCTCTGGAACCTCTAAAAGGATTTCACAAAGAAGAACTCCTCATAAAATGAAGAACATTATTGACAGGTTTTGACAGATTAATCTTCCAGCAGCATAAGGACCCTAACAACAGAGCCAGAAGTAAAATTTAATGGTTGAAACAATATTTATTAGGTAAGAATGGCTAAATCAAAACCCAGAACTAAATTATTTTGAGAAACTGTGGCAAGACTTAAAGCAAGGGAAACAAATCTAAGTCTCTACATGTTGTAGTCAAGGGTTGATTAAGTGTTTACTTAGAAAAGATTAATAGCACTTATTAATATTTGAAAAAATACTTCAGAAACCATCAATTTTCCCTCAATTTGACAATTTTTTTATTGTTTTATCAAAAAAAAAAAACCGATTCACAAGTTGTAAAAATACTAGGCACCAAAGTTCACATTTCTTCATTCAGTTAAAAGAAGAATGTATAAAAATTTTTTGTGGTTAAAAAAGTTGTCTTTTATTCTGCAACGATTTGTAGAAATCTTACTTTTACCCTACTCACTGCCCTATATTAAATTTTATTGCAGACTGGCATTATCTGTGCAATGCTGAACGCTGAGATTCCTGCTCTGCACACACAAACACATGCATGTACCGGTATTTCTCTTACTAATTAGCCCTGATGTTAGCATTGCCCTATAGATTGCAGGCCAGGTTAGGATGGTTGGTAGGGTTGAGCTACATTACTTGAAATATATTATGCCTCTTAGGTGTACGTGTGTGCACATGTTATAGCTGTAAAATAATGAAATTGCCTTAATTACCTCAGGTAAATGAGCCATGCTTTGCCTTTGGCACCTAACGATGTTCTAATGTTTTTAATGCACTTTTTATTATACAGCATAGATGAAAGATAAAGAAAGCAGCCTCTGACATATGATATACTTAGACTGGAAAGGAATTGTAATAGGTAAAAAAGACAGAGATGACAGTTAAAAGTTACTAAAAGGGAAGTGAACATATAACTATAGCACAGTACTTTTCATGTAATTTAATGAAGTGATTTTTTTTTTGGTGATAGCATGGTAAGATGAGAGATTGCGAGTTGGATGGTGTCACTCAGCATCTGGGAATCAGTTTATAATCCTTCCACCGTCAACAATGCCTACAACATCTAATAACATTTTGAAAAAAAAAATGTCTATTTGTGCTGTACATATAAACTGCACCTGCTTAATATTATATTGCAAACAAAACAATAATTGTGGTAGGGCATTCACGAGTTGTAATATTTACATGTCGTGTAGTTAACAGTAGAAGTTGAAGTAAATGCCTCGTTCTCTGGCCTTGGTTATATCGGGTAGGTCTAATCCAGCTTTTATTGCTAACTATACAGTGTGCTCTACTAAGCCCAGTTCTGCAAGCCACCGCCATGCTGGCTCACACCTGCGGGTGGGTGAGCTGGCAACTTTCACGTTGTCCAGATGCAGTAATGGGACTAACGGCGTTGAAACTAACGGCGTTACTAACGACGTTACCTTGTTTTAGTAACGAGTAATCTAACTAATTACTTTGACTGTAACTATAACGCAGATACCATTGCAGGCACCCCGTTACTGCGCGTTACTTAGGTCGCACAATGAACCTTTTTTCATGATAGGACTCGTGCGCAGCTGCGTGAAGCTGACACCCCACCCACGTCAAAAAACTCTGCAAATAGACTGAATGTTTAGTGCAACGTTAGTGCAGATTTGTGCAGAAAAAAATATTGTTTGTGCTACTTTTGTTTAAGAGATATTAAAGATTATTTTTTTAGGTCATCCAGAGGTGCGCGCCTTGTCATGAGAGAGGGGAGGATGGCTGATGTATAGTGAGATTCCGTCTGTCAGTTGAATAGGTGGGTGTTTCTGCTGGTGGGTGTTAACGTACAGCACACACAGAGAGATGGAGAGTGAGGAGGAGTCCAGCAGCAAAACAGCATTTTCCACATGGAAATACCGGTGTTACGTAGAGCTGCGTTTCCCCATCACATAACGGTTTCCTCTGCATCTCCACACAGCGCAGGCGGCAAGAGTCACCGCGCAAGCAACAGGAAACGCGCATGCTCGCTAAAGGCGCGCAACAGTCGCTCTGTGCTCGCGCCACAGGAGAACTATGGAGAGCGTGAACGATCAAATGAACCTGACAACAGCCAGAAATGATAGCCTATATGGAGAAAGGGAGAAATCTGGATGGATGGATGGATGGATGGATGGATGGATGGATGGATGGATGGATGGATGGATGGATGGATGCTCTGCCTTCTCAACCTACTGTATTTTTTATTTTAAACATTATTTGATGGCCTTTGTGGCAGGGATGGAGATCCATATTTTATGTCACACACAGAGTATACATCTAGATAGATAGATGGATAGATAGATGTTGCAGTATCTATAACAACCCAAACACACAGGATTTCAGAATTAGACATCCCCAGTTATTAATTTCATATACTCACCGGATCTGAATGTCCTGTTATAAAACTTCACATCGCGTTCCCCCTGATGTCATTTACGTTGAGTTGCAATAAATGCTAAACTGTCTGCAGGTTCTTGTCTTTGTCGTCCGCTCTATTCAGCTGGCTTTGGAAACACACAGCGAGAAGGTGGGGGCTGGGTGGTGAGGGTTACGGGGGCGAGAAACGCAAAAGTAACGCAATAGTTACTTTTACTAGTAACTAGTTACTTTTATTGTGGAGTAACACAGTTAGTAACTCAGTTACTTTTTGGGAGAAGTAACTAGTAACTATAACTAATTACTTTTTCAAAGTAACGTGCCCAACACTGTCCAGATGTGTGTCATCTAATCTTAATTCAGTTGCATTGCTGCCAAGTTGACATAATTATAGCTGGTAGGTAGTGGAGCTGCAGGGAAAATCTAGTTGTCTCTAATTATCAACATCACTTGGCTGGACTGAAGGTGTAGTGAAATATGTTTGAGCTTGAGTTGAATGATTTTTTTATTTCTTTATGGAAGTCATTGTGAAATAATTTCATATGTCTGCAGAGTTCACTGTTAGGTCATGGTTTCAGCTTGAATCACACTCATTTGTTGTCCTAAAACACAGCGGACTGTTGACACAGTCCAAAAGAAAATTTATTAAATAAAGTCACAACTGGGGCTTTGTTTCTCGAGTGGCTCGGGAACGCCAAAGTGGAGGAGGTGTCTGGGTAGAGGGAGCTCTGCTGAGACTGCTGCTCCTGCAACCATGGTCCCAGAAGAAGCAGAGGATGACGAGTTTAAGTTTTAAATTAGCACATGTTTATAGTTTTATTTTTCTCCTACCTCCATCAGCCGTCGTGACGTCAACCAATGCTTTAGTTGTGTTATGTGCACCATTGAACACCTGCAGCGATATCAAATAGGTTGTCCTGGGCCAAAGGTTTCCTATCACAGCTGACTTGACCTCAGGTCCATAACACATCAATGGACTGGACTCAGAGTAGTTTATTGAGAGGAAGAATGATTCCACTTCTCCCTGCAGGTCATGCAAAGCTAAAAAATACAAGAAAAGAGTAAAGGTGAGTAATTAATTACATTAAATATTTTTTTTTCCATCTCCAGGTTAATTGTACCGTAGGTATTTCTTTAGTAAAGAAATTATCAAAACATTTTACTATAAAAGTGTTCAAGGAAAAAAAAAGATAAGAATGTTTCTTACAGAAAGTAAAATACGAATTACACTAAAGACAATGATTCGTATGCTCTATCAGCAGTTATTAGTTTGCAGTTTATATTGAAAATTAATATAGATAAAATACCCCTTAGATTTACTTAACAATGACTGGGTACTTTTGACCCTCAATGGTCAGAAAAAGACAAACTAGGTTGATAAAGTTAGTGTAAAGCCAAATAATGTATAATGCTGATCACAACCTATCACGAGCATCAAGTATTTTAGACATTTTTTTATACAGTGTTCTTAATTTTTTGGTAAAAAATGGGCAAGCTCCAATCGGATTAGGGTTATATATATATATAGACGTAAGCGCACGCTTGTGCTGAGTATTTTAAGGATTTTTCAGCCCCTATCAAAGCTCAGTCTGGTTTTGATATATACAACAAGCCACTTCCCACATAGTGGCCAAAACCCAGGTAAAGTGGCTGAGAAATAACTGAAACCTGCTCTTAGAGTGGATAACATTTTAGCTGTCCTCCGCAGTGTTTCTGTCAGTAATAAAAAGCTATAAAATAGCATGTTTGTCCATGCACGCTAAAGTAGCCCTTATCACCCTGAACAGGCATTATTTTAAGGGGATTTAAAACAAACATTTTTCTCACCTTTCATGTCTGGAAGCTCAGAAATGTTTAATGGTTTACACATAAGTCAACCAGATCATTTTGTGAAAATAAGATTCCAAGAATAACTTGGAAGAAAAACTAAGTTGCGTTTGTCAGCTGGTTTTCTACAATATAGTGAGAGCTCAATTATCTGATGGATATAATGCTGTGTTGTGAACAGAGAGGGTAATCTTACAAGGTTTATTCCAGTTGACTTGTACAGCTGTGTGATTGATAGCATGAGCAGACAGAGTAGGAGGTTTGAGAGGAGCCCCTGCCAATGTCATTGCAGTAACAATATCTCCTGAAGTGAAGCCCACATCGTTATAAACCACAAGCTGGTACTGGTAACGGGTAAATCTGTGGAGAGAAAAATGGTGCTCTTTATGCATGCACAAGTTATAACAGTATGTTTGTCTATAAGTGAACTTAATCTGTTGCTTTCTGTTCAATTCAACTCTGTTAATTATAAAGGCTGATTATAGTTTGAATACCGGTCAGGGATCAAACAAAGTAGTTAAAAAATGTTGTTTGTTTTGTTTTCTTTGTCCAGTCAGTCACAATGCGTCACTGATTTTAGGCGCGCCTACTTCCTGAAAAAACAAGTGGCAAAAGGTGAACGCTTAAGTGCATGGGTGCTGACCTCCTACTGAAAGTATTATAGCTGCTGTGCAGCTATGGGTTCTGAAGACAGTCAGTCAATCGGAACACTGCAACCAGCCTGTCCCTCCTCCAGCTGCAGAAACGGGACTCGTAGGAAAAAATTTAATGCAGGTTCCTTCTCTTTCCAGGAGTTGTCAAGCAAAACCTGTTATCGGCACACATAAAGACTGCTGCAGCATCTGGCCAAACTTCCTTCTTGTGGAAAACTCTCTGTCAGCCTCTGTAACCTTACTCGCACTTCACTCTGACTGATTTGTACGTACAAACTATAATGAATTATTTCGGTTCCTTGCAGCACTAACAATGCAGCTTTGCAGTGTTCAGGGTGAGGATTACCTTTGCAAATATCCCACATTCTGAGCCTGCATATAGGGACACCAAGAGGGAAAACTGCCTTAAAGAAACCAAAAACAGAGTCTGGCTCGGTGTGAGCAGCTAGAGTTTGGATACAAGGGCAAATAATAGTCCCATTTACACTACCCTCTTAAAATGGATCCGTGCCGAGCTTGGATCAGTTAACAGTTTTGAGCTTGGATCCTTATTACCATTTTACACACCATGCTAGCACGGGTCCTTGCATCCTAGTGACGATCTACGGTACTACTGCTTTCTAGAGGGAAACAAGTAAACCAACATGGGGGTACAAAGAGTCAGGTCGAAGAAGGCATTCTTTGGTGAATTTACCTGACAGAGTCAGCTTTTGGGAATTGGATACGACAAGTGACAGTATAATCAGGGCTTACAGATGCAGGAAACAACGACAGGAGTTGAGGTTCATCACACTGCTAAGCAGAATCATCACTGGAAATCATGTGGCATGGTAGAGAAGCTAGTATTTATATGAATGTCTGAAATTTCATGATTACGGAGACTGACGGTTAGGAGATGACATGGTCTGCTCATGCACTCTTTATTATCTGAGAATCGAGCCTCAACTGAACCATGACAAGGCCTACTAATGAACTAGTACCATATTAGCGCAGTTTAATTGTGTCTGGTGCAGTCCGGTTCAGTTGTGCGTGCAATTTACACTCAACAGTTATCTCGATTGCCGTGCTCAGACCAATTTCTGCATGATTTCAAAAGGCTAGTGTAAATGGGGCTAATAAGACAAACAATTCAAGTTTCCTTGCCCCTTTTAAAAAGGCCTACAGGTTCCATTTACCTTGTAAGTGTAAAGAAGGCTGAATACTTCATGTACATGTTCTTTCATGCTAATTTATACAAATCCCTTCTAAAGCCGGGCATACACTGTGCGATATTTTCAATTGTTGCACACAGCTGCAGCTCAAACGGTATGACGACACAGCAGGGTTTAAATGTTCACAGCTAACAATGCATGTTCTCACACCCTGCGGCCCGACGCTCTGATGCGACCTTACGACGGCTGACTGAATTTCAAACATGTTTGATTTTCTCCCAACCTTATGATTCCTGACTGGGAGGTGGTCGCCCCTCGTTACCCCCTGTACACTACACGATGAAGCCCGATCGAAAAACTCTCGCAAGGCTGGAAAATTGGCCCGAAAAGGGCAAAAATTGTACAGTGTATGCCTGGTTTCAGAAACGTTTGCAGAAAGACAAAAAGTATGATTTAAGCCATGCATATAAAATTACACAAAATGTACATTAAAGAGAGAATAGAAGCAAAATCGGTAGTTCTTCTAACAATGTAGCAAATGTGTGAAAAAAAGTTAAGCGCAGTGCATTCTGGGAAAAGCTGATACACCTGAAAGACGGTCAGCTGATTTAAAAACAGGCACATAGGACTCAGAGCAGTTCAGAAAAGATAAAGTAAAAAAGCTCCAACCATGTGGTGGACTGAGATTAAAGGACACTGTGAAACAAAAAGAAATTAATTCTTTGGGATATTTGCTTAATGTATCTTTGAACGGTATTAAAAGATCGACATCAGCCGTTACTCTCCGATCAGCTCTGCACACACTGTTTGCTGCAGCACTGCCATTTGCTGTAGAGCTCATTCCAGTAATCTCACCTGCTTAGGCCTTTATCTTCATAGAACAATTTGGTGCCGGAGTAAACATGGAACCAGCGATGGAGATCTTCAGAGGGGGGTGGGGAAGTGGCTGTTAATGTGGGAACCATGGTGACGGCCAGGGGTTGGTGGGTTTTACGTCTGAGCAACTTGTATCTGAGGGGGGGAAATTTGAATAACAGAAAAACAAACACACAGCTTGATGTTAAAGAATCCATCGACACACAAAGACTCTCCTTACAGTGCTCATACATACACACATACATACCCTAACTTCCACACAGAATTTTAGCTGACTTTTATCACTCATTTCTTCCGCTTATGCAGTTTTTCATCATCTCCGTTCTTGAGCTTTCTCTGTATCTCATCCCTCCCAATGCCCCTAAAGCTGTTTTTCTCTGGGTTTTGTGTTTTACTTTCCCCACAGTGATGCTAATTTCTGCTGTAATCAGAAGAGAAGGGCTTAACGCTGCCTTTTAACCAACCCACTTAGACAAACACACTGAGCTGAGCAGCGCAGAAAAGAGAGAGAGAGCACCCTTAATGCATTTTAATCAACTACTGCGAAAAATGGACCTTTATTTTAGGCCTAATCGCAGGCAGAGTCGAACAGGACGTGAATAAAGTGGACCAGAATGTGCATTAGTTCTGAGAAAATACCCATTATAAATGCATAACACTTAGCTCATTAGCAGGCATTTGTGTTTGCAGTTTCTTAGTGTATTCATATTTCTGGTGAAATTCTTCAGCAGTTTTTTTTTTTAATAATCTGCATGATATCTATTATTTTGCTAATGGATCAAACACCAAATTTATTCTAAAAGTTTGTTTCTTATCATTAAATTTGGAACCTATCAAAAGAATTTCCTTTGAGCCAATATTGTTCTCCTCTTCTTTTCCATGCATTTAAAAAAAATCACCAAGCAGATAAAAATGGTTTTAATCCTATATTTTTCTAAAAAAGGTGATATGCTATTTCTAAATCACATTCTCACAGTGTTAACAATGCTTTTTGCTTAAATGTATTAAATTTAAGACATTCTACAGAGGGAAAATCACTATACTCAGTGCAATAACTCAGTGCAATACTTATTATTGATGGTTCTTCTTCAATAACTCAGTGTAATATACAGGTAAAAGCCAGTAAATTAGAATATTTTGAAAAACTTCATTTATTTCAGTAATTGCATTCAGAAGGTGTAACTTGTACATTATGTTTATTCATTGCACACAGAATGATGCATTCAAATGTTTATTTCATTTAATTTTGATGATTTGAAGTGGCAACAAATGAAAATCCAAAATTCCGTGTGTCACAAAATTAGAATATTACTTAAGGCTAATACAAAAAGGGATTTTTTAGAAATGTTGGCCAACTGAAAAGTATGAAAATGAAAAATATGAGCATGTACAATACTCAATACTTGGTTGGAGCTCCTTTTGCCTCAATTACTGCATTAATGCTGCGTGGCATGGAGTCGATGAGTTTCTGGCACTGCTCAGGTGTTATGAGAGCCCAGGTTGCTCTGATAGTGGCCTTCAACTCTTCTGTGTTTTTGGGTCTGGCATTCTGCATCTTCCTTTTCACAATACCCCACAGATTTTCTATGGGGCTATGGTCAAGGGAGTTGGCTGGCCAATTTAGAGCAGAAATACCATGGTCCATAAACCAGGCACGGGTAGATTTTGCGCTGTGTGCAGGCGCCAAGTCCTGTTGGAACCTGAAATCTCCATCTCCATAGAGCAGGTCAGCAGCAGGAAGCATGAAGTGCTCTAAAACTTGCTGGTAGACGGCTGCGTTGACCCTTGATCTCAGGACACAGAGTGGACCGACACCAGCAGATGACATGGCACCCCAAACCATCACTGATGGTGGAAACTTTACAATAGACTTCAGGCAACGTGGATCCTTTGCCTCTCCTGTCTTCCTCCAGACTCTGGGACCTCGATTTCCAAAAGAAATGGTAAATTTGCTTTCGTCAGAAAACATGACTTTGGACCACTCAGCAGCAGTCCACCTGCACGGAATTTTGGATTTTCATTTGTTGCCACTTCAAATCATCAAAATTAAATGAAATAAACATTTGAATGCATCAGTCTGTGTGCAATGAATAAATATAATGTACAAGTTACACCTTTTGAATGCAATTACTTAAATAAATCAAGTTTTTCAAAATATTCTAATTTACTGGCTTTTACCTGTATATGTGTATATATATATATATATATATATATATATATATATATATATATATATATATATATATATATACTCTTTCACCTGTATATAGCTAGGTCTTACTCATAGAAAACATATTTATTGTGCAGGAATAAGGTCTTAGCTCTGTTACACTGTTAGCCAAGTAATAGACATTTCGTTGTCAAGATTCACCCTGTGTTTTTTGTGCAATGACAATAAAGGAATCTAAGTATAAGTCTGGTTTGTTTGTAGGCACTTAAAGCTAAGAGGGATATATGGTAAAGGGAGGGTATAAATCAGTGTGAGATTTGTTAAAAGAGTGAATTGACCAAACACCCTTGTGAGGAATGAACCTTTCAAGTAAGAATGTTAATTCTATTAATAGCCTAGGTGCTCATTTGTATTTGTATCCATCTAAAAAGAGGATTTGGTTCATCAGCACCAAAACCTCATGGCAAAGGAACAGTTTCTTTCCAGCTGAATCTACTAGTGTGAATCTGAAATGCTTGTAGAAATTGTCTATAAATCTATGAGCAAGAATTTATAATAAGACTATATAGGTAGTAAAAACAAAAAGAAAATTTACCCTTTCTATTTTTACCTGATGTTGGGTCCATTAGGCCGATTTGGTGTTTGCCAGGAAATGGCCAGAAAAGATTCACTGACTGGCACTACTGTTAGAGGTGAAAGGTCTTCAGGTCTTGTTGGTAAAGTGGAACCAGGAGTTGGAGGACTTTCTGTACATCCACCCACATATCCTCCACCTTTTGAACATGCCAGCACAGTCACACTGTAATTTGTGTATGGAACAAGGTCTATTATAGTGACATTGAGCTCCGTGGAATTTATGGTGTCATGAAAGATTCGCGGTTCAGGGAGACGGATTTCATATCCATGAATCTCTCCATTAGGAATCAAAGGTGGTGACCATGTGACCTGAAAAGAGAGTGAGGAATCAATGTTTATTTTTTAAAATACAGACGGGTGAAATACTTTGACAAGATAGAAAATATCATTAAATCTTTTCTACCCTGCCTTTCAAACTTGTAAATTTAAAAATTTTGGCAATTACCACAATAAAATATATCTATTTTTGTAGATCTTTTAATACCTTTCCTAATAGTAAAGTTGAACAAAATAGTAAATAAAAAAAAACAAATGTTTGAAAGCTGTTGTATCAGTTTGTATTTACAGTAGCACGCTGTACTCCATTCTTTTTGGGACCTCCTTTCCTTAAACCTACAGCTGCAGGCCATGAGAAATCTCTTCAGCCATGAGCATGTCAAAACTAAAATTGTTGCCCATGTCTTTGCAAAATAGCATAATCTCTGTCTGATCTGAGAGTATCTTTAAACAACAGTATCTATATCTCCATTGTATTTAGGCCTGGACTTTGACTGGGTCATTTTAACAGAAATGGTTGCTCTCGCTGTGTATTTACGATAATCCTGCATGAATGTGAAACTTCACCTCTGTCTCATATAGTACTTTTAACTCTCTAACAGGTTTAATCCTATGAGGATTTTGCTGTAACAACTTTAAATAATTTCTGACGGGCTTCAGACTCTTCCAAAACTTAAACTTTAAAGAAGAACCTCTACAGCATCATACTACCACCTTTGACAAACCATATGGATGGTGTCATCAGGGGACTTTTCTTTATTACATTTACATCGAAAACAGTGTTTGTCTGAGAAAAAGTTTAATTTTGGTCTTGTCTGAACAGAGCACTTGAATGTATTGTGTTGTCACATTACAGTGACACCAGCAAGCCGGAGAAAAATCACTATTAGGCACGGCCTTGTTAGAAAACATAACCTGACTTTCACTTAAGTAGAAGGTTTCCTCCATCACATTTAAAACAGGGAGCACACAAACGGGCACACCGTCTCTCTCACACACGGAGGCCATGCTAAAATGATGAAAGAAGCTCCTAATGGAATTGCAGCATGAAAAACAAAAGCAAGCTGTTGTGATCTTGAATCAGTTCAATCTGCCAGCATTTTAGAGCCATGATAAAGCTAAATGCTAAACACAAATAATATTGCATACATACAACATACAGATATAAACATGCTGGTTTATACACCTTTATAGAAAACTACTTCCACAGTTAACATTGGATTATTATATTAACACTCAGAAAAGCAGCAAGAATGTTTTGAAATTCTGCATACTCTGGCATATGTAGACATAATGAAATTACTTGGTAAACAACTTGTTAGTACATGTACAGGTGATTATGTGGTCAGTGTTGATGAGAAATAGAAGACCAATTAATTATCAGGCAACCTTGATATTTTAACAAGACACTGAGCAGTGATACAGGACACACACACAGACAGATGCATACACAGGAGCAATACCTTCTAACAACGGAAAGACAATCACGCACTCACAGGGGCACAAACACCACAACTGGGCAGGGTCATTTTGAGTTAGGTAGCTCATTTCCCAAAGTGCGTGTTGAGTGTGCTCTGTGGTGGAAGTCATTTACAGATTGAATAGCTTGATGTAATCTGGTGATGGTGAAGACAACAGAGACCCTGACATGGAGCACTGGGGCTAAGGCCAGTGGGCTGTTTAAGAGTGTGTGTTTGTGTGTGATCCTTTGCAAGCAGGTAAGACAGTAGAAAACTAAGTCTACACTTTGGTGAAAAATGTGTGTGAGGATTTGTTGGTGTGTGTATAGTTTTATCAGACAAGAAACATACTTTGTAATTTCCAATAGGTAGGGACAAATAACAATTTTCCATTCTTACATTCAAATTTGTGTATTTTTCAACATATTTGGAAATATTAATAAATATATCTGAAATAAAAGATAACCTTAACATATTGGTAACATTTATACTCGCAGTATAAATGAAGCAGGTTGTGCTTCTGGAGCTCACGGTCCCTTGGGAAGACCGCATCGAGGAGGCCAACGAGAGAAAGAGGGCTAAGTACAGCGATCTGGTGGAGCAGTGTCGGCTCAATGGGTGGCGAGCAAGGTGCGAGCCTATTGAGGTGGGATGCAGAGGGTTTGCTGGCCAGTCCCTCTGCAGGGTGTACAGCATGCTGGGCATCACAGGGGCCAGCAAGCGAAGGGCCATCAAGGAGGCCACAGAGGCAGCAGAGGTTGCCTCGCGGTGGTTGTGGATCAGGAGAGGAGATCCGTGGGTAGGGTAGCGCTACCTGGACACAAGCTGGGGTCTGATCAACCCTGGCTGGGTCGCCTGGAGGAGAGTGTATGATGTTTGAAAGACCTGAAACACTCTATGATACCAGGTAATATCACTGATGATGTGTCCAGGTTGCATCACTAGTTGATGTATGTACGAAGATACTCAGTTTAAAATAATACAATAAAAAGCAAAAACCAAATACAATATCTTTTAAAGCTTTCAGGTAAATTTCCAGAAGCTTTACAGTAAAATGGTTTCTCGTGAGGAATAGGGGGCATCAAAGCAAAAAGAAAACTATTTAATTGACATTCTTTCTTAATAATAGATATTTTTTATTGAACTTTATTGATTTCACACTGGAGAAATTTACCCCTGCATTTAACCCATCCCCTTGGAGAGCAGTGGGCTGCAATTGCGGGGCGCCCAGGGAGCAATCGGGGGTTAAGTGTCTTGCTCAGTCAACCAGAGTGGGAGTCTGTGGGAGTGGAGCTCAAACTCAGAACCTCAGGATTCAAAGCTCTATGCCCTAATCACTAGGCTGCCAGTTGCCAATACCTTTTCCAGAAAACCCTCAAGATTAAAAATATATTTTGTTTAACATCATAAATGACCCCTCACACCTCCACCATGGACTGTTCTTCCTGCTGCCCTCTGGGAAAAGACTTCGAAGCATCCAATGCAGGTCCAGTAGATTCCACAACAGTTTATTCCCCACTGCCATTAGACTGCTGAATGTTGTATAAAATGGGGATATAAAAAACAAACCAAAAAACCCCCCCCTGAATTTTGGAAACGAACTAATATACAGTCACATGCTTACATTATCACTGCTGCACTTTAAAAATTTAAAATGTCTTGAGAGCTGTATTGAACAAAATGTATTTTTCTATACTCTGTGTGTACAAAATGACAATTACAATATAGTCTGTATATAATGATGTAATAAGAAAAATCAAAACTTTAGATTTTGAGCAAATTCTGTTTTTTAAATGTAATTAAATAATTTAAACTATTGAACTATTGAAAAAATTTAAAAGAAAACACTTCACATTATTTTTAAAAGGGTAACCTACCTCAAGTAATAAGATATACACTGCTAAAAAAAAAAAAAAAAAAAAAAAAAAAAAAAGAACACCCAAAAACACCACAATATAAGTTTAATTAAATCAAACTTCTGTGAAATCAAACTGTCCACTTAGGAAGTAACACTGATTGACAATCAATTTCACATGCTGTTGTGCTAATAGAATAGACGAGGGGTGGAGACTTTTGGCAATTAGAAAGACACACTCAATAACGGAGTGGTTCTGCAGAAGGGGACCACAGACCTCTTCTCGGTACCAACCTTTCTGACTAAGGTTTTGGTCACTTTTTAGTGTTGGTGGTGTGTTCACACATTTGGTAGCATGAGACAGACTCCACAACCCTCTCAAGTGGCTCAGGTAGTGCAGCTCATTTAAGTTGGCACATCAATGCAAGCTGTAGTAATAAGTTTTGCTGTGTCTGTCAGTGTAGTGTCTAGAGGCTGGAGGCGCAACCAGGAGACAGCTAAGTACACCAGGAGATGTGGAGGAGGCAGTAGGAGAGCAACAACCCAGCAGGACAGCTACCTCCGCCTTTGTGCAAGGAGGAACAGGAGGAGCACTGACAGAACCCTGCAAAGTGACCTCCAGCACGCAAAAACGTTCATGTGTCTGCACAAACGGTTAGGAACCGACTCCATGAGGAAAGATGAGGTCCTGATGTCCAAAGATGGGGACTGTGTTTAAAGCTCAATACTGGGCAAGATGCTTGCCATTTCCCAGAGAACACCAGAATTAGCAAATTGACCACTGATGCTCTGTGCTCTTCAAAGATGAAAGCAGGTTCACCCTGAACACATGTGACAGACGTGACAGAGTCTGGAGACACTGTGGAGAGAGATCTGCTACCTGCAACATCCTTCACCATGACTGGTTTAACAGTGGGTCAGTAATGGTGTCGGACAGCATTTCTTTGGAGGGCCACATAGCCCTCCATGTGCTCGCTAGAGGTAGCATGACTGCCATTAGATACTGAGAGGAGATCCTTAGACCCCTTGAGTGGATTGCAATAATAAATAGTGTCAAGCATAATCAGGTCGTTATGCCCCAGAGTTAAGATAATTTGAAACCTATGAGTTTAGAGTGAATGTAAAATGCACAAGAACAGAAACATTTTTATCCCTTGACTCAAGATGTTCCTGTGTCATTTCTGGACATAACATTTAATAATTAAAATTATCAAGCACTTGAGTGAAGTCCTTACAGGTCCCAATAAAGCATGTTTAAATTATAGCTGTTTGACACCAGGCAAAAACTTTTTTGCAAAGATTATTGTCAATGACAAACTGGAAGAATTCTTAAAACGAGGGCAGCAAGACACAGACAATTCATCTATCTTCACAGAGTATTTATAGAGCATCATATCACATGTTTAACAGTAAAGTATAATCTACCAGCTAAATCAGCTCTGACAGTCTATGGAAAGTTTCCTTTATGCTGGCCCTCACTGTCTATTGTCCCTCATCTTCAGATGTGTCTCGGCTTTCACAAGAACAGAAACATTTTTATCCCTTGACTCAAGATGTTCCTGTGTCTTTTCTGGACATAACATTTAATAATTAAAATTATCAAGCACTTGAGTGAAGTCCTTACAGGTCCCAATAAAGCATGTTTAAATTATAGCTGTTCGACACCAGGCAAAAACTTTTTTGCAAAGATTATTGTCAATGACAAACTGGAAGAATTCTTAAAACGAGGGCAGCAAGACACAGACAATTCATCTATCTTCACAGAGTATTTATAGAGCATCATATCACATGTTTAACAGTAAAGTATAATCTACCAGCTAAATCAGCTCTGACAGTCTATGGAAAGTTTCCTTTATGCTGGCCCTCACTGTCTATTGTCCCTCATCTTCAGATGTGTCTCGGCTTTCATACTTGAATCCAATGCTCTTAATTACCTCCCCATCATGCTGTAAGATTCTCAGTAGTCCAGCTAATAACCTGCTTATTTACCTTAGGTGTGTTGATCCGAGTTGCATCTAAAATCTGCAGGAAACAGGACTACAACGGCCAGATCAAGGAAGCCTGGTCTATGTGTTACTGTATGTAAAATTATAGGTTTAGCTTGTGATTAATAATGGTGGCATAACTGCTTGCACTAAACTGGTAGTATTGAAACAAACGGCATATTTTAGGTTTTATTTGTGAACAAATTTCAATAGTATATATCCATTTCCTGTTTTTTAAAATGTAAGTGCTGTTTTGGTTTTGGTCAATCAGGTATAATCTCAATAAAACACATCGTAACTGTATATTAATAAAAACAAAAAAAACTGAAATTTTTTTTAGCGAAGATGGGGAAACTGTATAGATTAGATGCAAGAAAATTATTTAAAATCCTCCAATGTTTGTCAAGGTCAGCTTATAACCAGGAAGCAGCTTCCTGTCTGCCCAATTAGCAACAACCAGGAAGGAACGCTTTTCTTCTGAGACCTGTGACCCTTAAAGCTATGCTGCTGCTGCAATGACAGGGGCGGTTCTGAAATGAGGACAGGCATTAGCATTTTTCCGCAGTTAGCATTAGTGTAGGGCTGTGAGTGCAAGTGTGTGTGCCTCTCTTTGTGTGTGGATGCATGCAATTTTGTTTCAGTAGCTTTCAGAGATAGGCCTTGATGAGAGATTAGCCACTGGTGGAAATCCACTCCAGTCACTCTTTCAAAATGGCCGACAGGAAGGAAGCTGCAACAGACAGGGTCACAGCCCCTCCCATTTCTGAAGGGGACCTTGAGTTGAATGCTCCTCTCCCTCATTAAATCCGAAAAGGAAAGACAGAAGAATCTGTTTGACATTGCTTTGTCTTTTTCTCTCAGTCAAACGCGGAGTGACTGAAGGAGATTCTCGATGAAGCTGCACTCTATTATTTCTTTTGTTTTGAAGAAATATAAACACTCAGTCAGTCACAATAGGATCACTATGTAATTTGGATACTACAAAATTTTTTGTGAGCTTAAAACTGATCTGTATCAGCCTTTATGCCAAGTTCACATATTGCTACAGTCCAATTAGTAAGCATGTTGATAACTACCATTATCATCAAGTACTTGGCAGAAAAAGAAAGAAAATAAGTAGAGGAAAAAAAACTCACTTGAAGCGAGTCGGATCCAAGAACTTTTACTCTTGGGGGATTCAATCCAGCTGGCCGAGAAGGTCTGGTGGTGACACTGGCCCAGGGCCCTGCATGTATAAAAATGCATAGTTTAAAATGCATTTTCTTTTATAAATGAGTTGTAAACGTGAATTTTTATTCCTGTATTACCAGAAGCCTTTCCAGCCTCATTATGGAGCACAAGCCGATAGTGGTAGCCTGTCCAAGGACTGAGAGCTGAGGAGGAGTCCAGGAACGAAAGAGGGGGAGGAAAGGGTGGAAGATGGCCTACTGTGGAGACTTGTTGGGTTCCAGCAACTCTTCGCTCGATCACCCAACTACAGCAAAAAATGGGTTACCAGACACACATTAACAAAGAATATTTCAATCGATCAAATGTGCAAGAGGGACTGAAGAGTGTGTCATCAGTGTCATCAAGTACTTGGCAAAAGAAAGCACTTGTTCCTCACCGTTCTAGTGGTCCATTGCTTTTTTCTGGTGCACCCCAGGATAAGAGAACAGATGTCGGTGTTTCGGAGTAAAGGTGAGGTGCAGGCACCCCTTCAGGTGGAGCTGGTAGAGTCTGGAAATACTGAGATGTCTCTGACACTGAGCAACCGACCCTTGTGCACGCTCTCACCTGAATAACAGTAGGGGAACTTACTAGGAGAACTTTACTTTTCTATTGCTATTAGAAACTAGTCAGTAGATAATTCTCAACAATAGTTACAGTTTACTTCAACTGAGAAACATTAAGAGTCAAAGATCTATAACATTAAACATACATGATTAGTTATCAAAAATATATATTTTAACCTTTATTTATGAGGAAAGGTACGGAATGGGAAATTAGGAAAAAAAAACATTTGTTTGTCAACTAACTCACATCCATATTCCTAACCTCGTACAGATTAATGCTGTAATCTATTTAAATGCTAAATTCACATTGGCGTACCTGGAGGTGAAATGTTTGGTAGGGAAGTAGATTGAGGAAAGTGTAACTGGTGGTATTTCCAGGAACAGTGACAGAGAGTGGAGTGGATCCAGAATTAGTAGCAGAAAAGGGGGAGACGGGACTGGTAGATGGTGTAATAAAATGATTGGGACCCAAGCTACTTTCAGGATAATATGGGACTGATGGTGAGATGTCTGGATTTAAACTGCTGCTGTTAGGCTCAGCTGTTTTGAATAAGATCATATTTTTGTCATGACCTTTAGTATTTTCACTAGATGTCTCTGTCTTTTCAACAACACTAGGAATCATGGTGGAGAAGTGGTTGATGTGTGCATTTTCTTGAATTATGCTCAATTTGTTATCATAATCTACAGTAGCCACAGAGTCCTCAGGTCTGCCAGGATTTGATGATGTCAATAAGTTAGAATCTGAATTGAGTACTGCATCAGTGGTGGAAGTCAGGCTTGGTTCTGATGATAAATCTGAGTTGTAGGACGAGCTGGTGACTAAATTAGGGTTATAATCTAGAGAGGTGATGGAGTCTGAGTAAAGATAAAGGGTGTAATTTGTAATGATTCCATTTCTTTGAGCTGGAGGATCCCAAGTAACTAATACAGTCCGAGGATGAAGTCCCATAACAGTCGGTATGTCTATTGGTCCTGGATCTGCAGAAAAACAAAAAAAAAAATCATAAATGAGAAGATAAGAAAAACATGACATTATGAAAAATACAAGTTACAACAATAAGGAATACTTTGAAAGAAGTATATAAGAGTGAAATAACAAAAAACATCAAAAAGGACAACGAGCTGTTTTCTAATCCTTATTTAAAGAGATTATTATGAAAATTCACTTTTTACACTTTCTTCCACTAAGAACATGTTGCACTAAGATATTTTTTTAATGATAATAAATACAAATACAGAAAAAACGAATAAACAAAAGACATACAAATACACTTTGAGAAATACACTTTGAGAAAATATACCAAAAATATACAAAAAGTTGATTTGATCAGCAATTCAGAAAGAAGACAACTTAGATTATTCTAAAGAACCTTAAGGTCTGGGAAAGGTAGTGATAAATTACTAAGAGTTAGCAAGTCCATGTTTTTGATTTGGCTCCAAACGGATGACAAAAAAAGAGTGCATTTTTGCTATGGGCCTCATGGTGAATGTCAGAAAGCCCAGACTAAATGCATTATAAAGTAATATTATGGTATTTTAGAATAAGTAAAATAAAACTCAGCTAAATCTTATACTGATCTCTGCTCATTTTGAAAAATATTATATGTTTTGGTTCTGCACTTACTATATTTATCATAAAAGTCTGAGTATAAGACACTGAGAAAAGCTGGTAAATTTGGCTGTCTGCTGATACAGCCAGCAATTGTGTGCATAGTGTTGCTTTAATTTTCACTATGACTGTTATTTTTTTATTAGAAAAAATAAATAAAATCCTAATAGGATAATTTGTCATTCGTATAGTCAAGGAAAATAAAAATAGAGGAGTCATTTTAAGCCACCTGACCAGTAATAATAATAATTGTAATTGAACTAATTGAATTAATCTCCCACTGGAGAAATTCACCTCTGCATTTAACCCATTCCCTCTGGGAGCAGTGGGCTGCTACTGTGTTGTGTTTGGGGAGCAGTGTGGGGTTAAGGGTCTTGCTCAGGGACCCAGAGTGGCAGTTTGTGGGAGTGGGGCCTGAACTCAGAACCTCCGGCACCCAAGTGCAATGCTCTAACCATTAGGCCACCAATCCCCCAGAAGCTGGAAAGAACATGTGCTCTAATTAAGCAAGAGAAAACTGGTCACTCTGAAGATATTTAAACCAGGAATACTATGGCAAAAAATTAATTAGCATATGAGAGTTCTTAAATCTTTTAAGTTAGAAAGCAAATAATCTTTTTAGAAAGAGGCAGAAAAGCTCACGGGCAAAAGCCGTATGGCATTGCAAGGGTAAAAAATTAACACAAGATCAGGCAGAAGGAAAATCGCTTCATAGAAGCCTGTTTGAAAGTAATCCCAACCTCGTCCTCCCCCGGCATTTACATCCCACTGTACTACTTTATAATGGACATACATAGAGACACACTATTCCTAACTCACGCATTAACTCACATACGCACACCCACAGAGAGGCAGTATAGCAGTAATGGTGCTGTGTGAAGGGCAGGCAGATCAAGGTGACTGAGCGGACTGAGGGAGCGTGCTGTGCTGCTAAGTGCTACTGCTAACCGCTAACGGCTTTCCCAGATGGTGATATGTATGTGTGTTTATGAGGGACAGGCAGAAAGGAAAAGTGAAATAAGATTAGCAGTTGCATGAGAGCATAAATTCATGCGATATTAGGCATACATGCACGTCTATGCACATGCAACTAAACAACTTAAAAGTAAACGATGTGCAATTTTGCCTCATTATCAACTAATTCATGTGCCTGACTAAACAGACTGAGATGGGAACTGATGCCTTGTAAATGAAGTTCCCCTTATGCTAAAAGATTATTAATATATTTTATTTCTGTTTTCATTCCCTATGTGGAATTTAAGAAGTTTTTATTAAGTAATTTGATGCAGCAGTACAAATAAACAAAAACCTTTTTAACGTACAAGAAAATGACATTAAAACAACAATATTTAATGTTTAATATAGGGATGCAGCTACTAATGTTCTGTTATTAAGTTTACTTTCTTTTAAATAAATATATTATATGTAAAAAAAAAAAGCAAAAACTCAACGACTTAAGCTGATTTTAAGAACAGAGGTTTGTTGTACTCTAATGTTCTGTTACCTCTTGGTCAGGTCACCCTTGGAAATTATATTTTATCTCAAGCAGCATCCTAATAAAATAAAGGCTAAATAAGATATAAATAACTAATAGAAATATATACAAAATAAAAGGCATTAGTGCAGCATTCTTTTTGTGTCTGAAGTAGCAATTTCTGACCATAGTTCTACTAAAACTCCACCAACGTCAGAGCAATAAATAAAAAAACTGGAGCAACAGAAGCATAATCGACTTCCACATTCAAGATGGTTTTCCCAATTTTTCTGTTTAAAGCAGTTCTATTAATCAAGTAGTTTTTAGAGTCCACATGTTGAAAACTGAAACGCTATCACTTTGGAAATTACTTTGCAGTTCTAGGTTCCAAGGCAAATGAAATGCAGTGTGGAATTTCAGCAGCAAAAAACCCCGGGAGTTGTCTGTCACTTGATGTGCTCTGCCTTATCTCATTTAATGTAAAGCATTACATAGCTTCTCCTAAGGTACATTCAGACCAAAGGTAAATGCGGCGACTGGATCAAGTAAATTCAATGTTATCCACGTGTTAATGTGTCTGAGAGTGAAGAAGTATTCCAGGCAGAGCGGTTGACGATCAGATGAAGAAAAATTTAGCAGCAGTTGAACAATCTGAATCTCTCCATTAGATCACATCACAGATGAGGTTGTGATGTAGGGTTAAGGAGCACACAGTGGAGACAAACCTTTGTTCTGTCAAAAACTCCACAGAGCCCCCCCTGCAAAGACACAGCAGCTGATACTGGGTCCTTGATAGACGGATTTACCACTGGAAGCCATCATTTAGCTGCAGTTCCTAAAGTAGATGGTAGTGCTGGCTGAACCAGGAGTGGATCAAGTGATCTGCTGACTCGCTCTGTAAAATCAAGGTCTGTTGAACAGACAAGAGGATGTAGCAAGAGTAAGCATACTCCTCTATTTGATAGCGAGCTGAGGAGAAGTTTACCACACTGTCCGGGCAAATTGCTAATGTTTATGGGTGGAATGTCACGACCAATGCCAGGTGGACCACATGAAAAATGTCTGCATTTGCTTTTGGCGTTAATACAACCTTAAACCATAATATTGCACTATTTGTAGATATGGGCTGTTTATGGAAGATTTTTTTTTAGGGGTTAGTGCCTCTTTTTGCTGTGTGTCCATTATACATTATTGGGGAGTTGGGAGACACAGGGTTTACACTGCAGCAAATGATTCATGCTAAGATGTTTGAGTACTGAGGATATGCTGTTATGGAAAGCATACGCTGCTGGTCACAAGTTTTTATTTGATACTACATTTTCAACATTTTCTTTTTTGTAATTTAGTTTTTATTCCTTTGGCTGGATGCTTAAAGGAGAATTCCGGTTTTTAACACTTTTAGCCCATTTTCTGTAGTGTCCAGGATGAAATCGAATGATCGACACCAAAATTTTGACAATTGCTCCTGTCTCTGCTTTTTGGCTCATGCAGAATCCCCCCCTGGCTGCTTCAGAATGGCTTCCATAGTGCATGTCTGATAATGTCCTTAAAACAACCTTAAACGTTCTTTTTTTTAAAATATGCTACTCACCGGGTCGTCAGCGCTGTTCAATGACGTTCCAAAAAAAGTTTCGTAAAGAAAAAACGTTCCTGTAGTGTTTTATTTAGCATTTTGTAAATCCCATTGAGTTCTGTTGGAATAGTCAATATTCCCCTGCCACCGGAAACGGAAATGGGGCCTGTTTACACAGTTGTAGTCTTTTCGCTTCACTCTGCGTACTCCGACGTCGAGAATCAAGAATCCACCTTTCGTATTCCATTTTCAGAGTTTTTTAAAGTGTTTAACAGAGACGTTAGCACCTTGACGTCGGAGTACACAGAGTGAAGCGAAAAGACTACAACTGTGTAAACAGGCCCCATTTCCGTTTCCGGTGGCAGGGGAATATTGACTATTCCAACAGAACTCAATGGGATTTACAAAATGCTAAATAAAACACTACAGGAACGTTTTTTCTTTACGAAACTTTTTTTGGAACGTCATTGAACAGCGCTGACGACCCGGTGAGTAGCATATTTTAAAAAAAGAACGTTTAAGGTTGTTTTAAGGACATTATCGGACATGCACAATGGAAGCCATTCTGAAGCAGCCAGGGGGTGATTCTAAATGAGCCAAAAAGCAGAGACAGGAGCAATTGTCAAAATTTTGGTGTCGATCATTCGATTTCATCCTGGACACTACAGAAAATGGGCTAAAAGTGTTAAAAACCGGAATTCTCCTTTAACAATACAAACGAAAACAGCCAATAAAAGAACTAAAGACATTCTTCGATAGGTTCAGTTCAGGAATAAGCTTAGCATCATTCTCACTTGCAGACAGTCATATAAACATCCCGCCCTCCTTTGACCGAAAGCTTCTTTGTCACATATTGAATGTTTCCCCTTCCACCTCTGATATGGACCCTCCTGCTTCTATGCATCTGTTCCCTGTGTTTGATAACAATTATATAACAGTATGAAATAATAATCTCAATATTAAGAGAATTTAATGAACGCTCGAGGTAGAAAATCTGCTTTTAAGAATTTTATTTATCGAGTTACTCAAACCATATAATCAATAATTGTTTAATCTCTATTGTCTTAATCTCTGGACATTGTCAATAACAATAATAATACATTTTATTAGAAGCATCTTTAAAAAACACCCAAGAGCATTGCACAATAAACGTAATAAACGATGCAGTCTTGAAAATATGTGTTTTTAATCTTGATTTTGAACAGAGGTAAAGTATCAGCATTGCAAAATATCAGGGAGTGAATTCCAGAGTTTGGGAGCCGAGGAAGGAGCAGGAGAAACCTCTAATGATGAGGTGGGTAGGAGGCTGTATAAGGTGGACG